TGCTCTGTCACTGAGCCACAGCACCCCCCTTTAATTTTTTTTATTTTTCATTTTGAGGCAGGATCTCACTACATTGTCCAGACCGGTTTCCAACTTGTGGCCCTCTGGCCTCAGCCTCCTGAGCAGCCAAGATTACAAGTATGTACCATTGCACCCAGCTAAGGTATGCAAACTTCTTAAAACATTGCCTGACAGGAAAACTAAAGGTTTTGTTGCTTTTTCTGTTTCCTGAGTCTCAGAGTCAAAATTTCAGAAGCTTGAAAACTTTTTCAAAGTAGCACAACAAACCATTTCATTTTCAAATCCTCTGTTTTCTCTGAGATCTCTCAGGAAAAGGAAGTCATGGAGCTGACATACGGAAAACATGTCCTCTGAAAGATGCACAGGCCTCCATCTCCTGAGATGGACCCGGTGTGGGACTGAGCTCCAAGCTACTCTGGGCAACTTCAATTCATCACCAAAATGCCAGCCTCCCATTTCCAGAAAACAGCTTCCTGTATGGAGTTCCAGCAAGACACATCGGCCTCTGTGTTGCTGAAGTAAAACCAACCAATATTCTGCCAGGGAACAGCACGGCGCTGCCCCTTGTGTGGGATCGATCCGACGCAGGGCAAGAGCCCTGGCTCCTTCCAGCTGCCTGCCAGCTCAGCACTCTGCTCCTCATCTCTGCTGTTTATTCCCATCAGCAAAGCCAAGTGGTCATAACTCCCTTCAAAAGCAGAGATAATAAGCGACCAACACTCCAATAGGAAACAGGCAAAAGAAAAGCCAGTGGCGGGGTATAAACCCTAGCACTCCCTTGACCTCTTCCACCCGGACACAGAGGAGGACGGACCTGGTGCTACCCTGGTGATCCCAGACCAGCAAGGCAGAGATGACGATCTTAACATGCAGGGCATCCTTTGATCTGCGGATGCAACCCTCTTTATTATATTTTTAATGGCAAAAGCTAAGGAGCAAAAAAGCCCCAGAAGAGACATGAAGCCATTAAAGTTGGATGACTTGGGAGGAATACAGTTCACAGGGATAAAACCAAGCCACAGTGAAACGGAACATGGAGCTGGATCGCCAAGGTACAAAGCAGAACTATTACTCTTCCCTGCCCAAACAACAGTGCTTACTTCTGGCAAAAATGTTAATCTGGGTTTTGTTTCTGCAGTTCTTATCCTATTAAACTGATTTCAGGATAATTATTCTGTTGAGAATCTTCATGGCTTCTGTTCAGCCAGGCACAGTCTCCTTCATACCAGATTTAGTAAGTGGATGGATCATCATTTTTTCAAAACTCAGGCCAAGGGAGAAGATGCTTTCAGCCTCAGGAATCACCGAGCTGATGCTGTCTACATGGTCTCAGGGAGGGAGGACCTGTTCTTCCAAAACCTGGCTTTCACCAAACACTTCAGCAAAAGCAAATCAAGGCTCAGTCTTCAAGGGGAAAAGACACGTTTTGTGATTTCTTTGCTCACAAAGAAACTATTTTATACCAAAATTACAAAAAAAAAAAAAATCTATACCACTTCCTTAAAAATAGATCTGCAGCTGTAAAAGTTGTATCTTTAAAATATAATTGTGTGTATTAGCCTTTAGGAACCCCGAGCTGCTGACTTTATCTCATTACAATTTACAAAGTCACCTTTAGATACTTAGCTACCTGCTGCTTGGCTCTGCCATCCACCAGCTCCCCTTTCTGTGGCAGGCCAGATAATATTCGGTGTTGACAACTGTGTTCAGGGAAGCAACCACACTTGAACTCACTTTAACTCCAGGGGCTTCATTCAGCCCTGTCTCTCCCTTAGATTTCCAAGTGGGCAGAAAGGGACATCTGCTGGGAGGCTTCCGGGAAAGGTGACTGGCTTTCAAAAGGAGCCACGGTGAAAACAAAGGTCTTCGTCCCTTTCCTTGCAGTGTCTGGGGCTCCGGTCAGAAAGCACAGGCGACACCACAGGTGCCCAGAGGCCCTGGGTGGACTGGGAGATGGTGCTGCCTGCCCAGGACCCCGACCTTCCCTCCCTGCACACACCCTGCACAGGAGCAGCACAATTTTCCTCACCAGGAATCCAGGTTGTCTGTCACCAGCAGCCAACTCTTTTGCAACTAATACATGAGTACAGTGGGGTTTTCTAGGTCCCAAGCACAATGCTCCATTTATACATCTACACCTACATCTATCTATACATAACTGTATAATATAAACAAAATTTAACTTTATATTACATTTATATTCTATAAAATCATACATACATACCACTTGACATAGCAGATGCCACAGGGCCGGGTCTGGGGTGATCCCTCTAGTCAGATGGGCCAGGTTACCGGAACCCCAAATCTCAGACACAGTAAAGGCAAGCAAGTGATAGCCCACCTGATGCCAAGACCCAAGTGCGGCTATCTAAATGTTAAAACCTTTATCTCAAAGAGCTAGGGAAAAATAGCATCAATCAGTTGAAAGACCTGTATTATTCTGAGAAAGTGGTATTTCTTTAGAATTTCCATGCTTTGAAAAATTATTTCCATCTCATAAAGTTTATGGGCTAACACTGACCCTATGATAAAAATCAGTGCCTCTGCCACACCATCAGAGGTGTCTAAGGAACACTATTCCTTTCCACTGTCTCAGATTCCAATATCCAACAAAATTATTTTAGGAGGCTGATACCATAAAACAGTCTCCGATGAAATGCATAAAATATTTAGGATTTCTTTAATTTTAAAAATTTTAATGTAATACAAGTAGATAAGAAAATATAAAAAACACTCTTGTATAAAAAAATTTCATAACAAAATTAGAGAATAACAATGATTCATGTACTGTGTATCATGACCTCAAAAGAATGACCAAAATGTTACTCAGAGGACGAGTCATGAGATTTCTTTCCAATGATATCATTAATCTTAATTGATAAACAGCTATTCCAGTATTTAGGCAACAAAACTCAGAATAATTTTTAAGTTATTTAAATAAACAACAAAACATTCCCTCACTCCATGCTCACCTAACTTTCTATCCGTAAGAACTTTTAAAAGAAAATAAGTAACCAAGTTCTCTATTTTATTTTACCCCATCCTCCCCAAAGCCCCTCCCGTCCCTATGTACAACAGCTTTGAGTAACCAAGTTTTTAACATCAATACAAACTATCGGTACACACTCCATATCACTAATCATCAGGAACATGTAAATCAAAACCACCAAGAATCATCACCTCTCAACAGACTAGTTACTACCAAAAAGTCCAAAGATGAGTGTCAGTGAGGAAGTACAGAAGAGGGTATGAACACTGCAGGCGGGAATGTAAATCAGCCCAACCGCTATGGAAAACAGCACAGAGTTTCCTCAAAAAACTCAAAAACAGAACTACTATGTAATCCAGCAATTCTACTGCTGGATATGGGGCCAAAGGAAATAAAATCAGGAACCCAAATACATATTTACCAGCTCTCTCATTCGTTAAAGCACTATTAACAGTAGTCAAGAAGGAGAAATAGCTCCGTGCCCATCAACAGATACATGGGTAAAGTAAATGTGGCACACATACACAGGAATATTATGTAGCCATCCAAAGAAGATGAAGCCAGACGACATAATGCTAAGTGGAAAAAGCCAGACACGGAAAGACAAATGGTCTCTGTTACACGTGGACAGGACAGCATGGCGGTTACCACAAGCTGAGGGTGGGGAAAGGGACACACTGAGCAAGGGTACAAACTTTCAGTTCGAAGAGAAGTTCAGGAGACCCAATGCAGTCATGTCGAGCAAAGTGAAAGCCAATAGACTGCACACGTGAATGCTGCTGAGTAGAGCTCGCGTCTTCTCACCATACACATGAAATGTTACCTATGTGAGGTGACAGGTTTATTATTTTGACTGAGGTAATTTCACAACATCAAAACATCGCATTGTATCCCTTAAATATATAGTTTTGTCAATCACACCTCAATAAATCTGGGGGAAAAAACTATTAAAATAACAAAGAAAACACTGGGATTTCTAGCCTCAAAGGGGTGGGCATTGTGCCAGGCACAGTGCTATATGACTGAAATCCTAGCTACTTAGGAGGCTGAGGCAGGAGGGTGGCAAGTTCAAAGTCTAGCCTGGGCAACTCAGTGAGACCCTGTCCCAAGATTTAATTTAAATAAAGGGGAGGAAGGTGAGAGGTAGTGGCTGGGGATACAGCTCAGAGACAAAGAGCCTGCCTAGCATGCAAGAGGCCCCGGGTTCTATTCCCACCACAGCTAAACAAAGAAATGAAAGAGAAAGAGGAGAACATTAAGACTAAAACCAATTAAGACACTAAAACTAAGTGGAAAAATTAACTTACAAGATAAATTCTTAAGTCTTTGCCCACAGTAGAACTTCATGAACAGTCCTTCACCCACAGATGGGAAACAATTCTTTCTTTCCTCCCTTCCCAACCCTTTGGTCCTGGGGGTGGAGCCCATGGAATCCAAACACTGACTCCAAACAGCAGTAAACAGTCCCAAGTTCATCAGTCCTAGGTGGCTGTCTCAGCATGAACTAGTCAACTCTAAAACTTACAAACCTAAAACTGATCCTTGACATCATGGGAGGATAAGGTCCCAATTCTGACAAAATAATGGAGACGCTGAAACAACACTATAGCGCATACAGTACTCTCCTCATGAAGTACACGGAAGGTTTTAATTTGCCTTTTACATCTTCTGACTTATTGCTTACTGAGGAAGAGCAGGCTCGAGAGTGTAGTCGGCAGCTACTTTATTCACTGCCAACTATCTGCGCCTTGGCAACAATGCAAATGTTAAGACTGGGATACTCTGAAAACCTCCTGCAAATATGCACAACTGCTCGTAAGAAATCTTTGATCCGAGACCAACATACAAATATTCTGCAGTTAGATCAGACAAACTCAAACACAGAGCCCAGAACTTAGCTGAAGTTTGTGAGAGTAACTGATCTTCAGTCAGTGCTGCGAGGGGAGAAACATCTGGGCGGTGACAGGACGCGTGGGGTCTGTTACGTTACCTGCTCCTGCTTCTCCAGCCACTGGTCCACCATGGGGTGGCTGGCGCTCAGGGAGGTGCGCGCGTTGTCCCGCTGGAACTGAGTGGACCAGTTACTAGTGTCCCTCGGGAGGCTTCTGTAGTTTTCATCTTTCTATTCGAAAAGAAAGAAAAAACCATCTTGTTAAAAACCATGCCTTCCAAATTAAGAACATTCCTGGTTTTTCAAAAGGAGCAGAAAAATGATTCTACTACACGTTTAAAGTATTTTTCCAAGTCTATACAAAATAGCAGATTGAGGAAGCCTCAAAGATACCTTGAAGTGAGATGGATCCAACAAGAGAGGACTCAACCCCTACATCATCAGCACATAAACCCTTCCCCAAAATGCTCAGAGTCATCTTCTTCTCCCCTCCCTCTTTCAGGCCCACATCTGCAGGGTCATTAACTCAATGTTTTGTGCCAAGATTTTACTCCTTGGCCATAACTCTACTTTGAGATCAACTTGCTCCCCTCTGAAATGACAACTTCCAGCCGGACACTAGCTCCAGCTCCAATGCTCCAACAATGTCCACACGGCTTCCTGGCAGACAGTACTGTTCTAAGTTGTACATCTGATCACACCCCAAGTGCAGCAAACCCCCAGGTCAGCCAGAGCATCTTTTGGACGATTGTGCTTGCTCCATCACACACACCCCTCACCTTCATTCTCGCTGGTTCTGAGAGCCCGGTGACACTGTGTCTGGAGAAACACTTAACATTCTTCAAAGCCACTTCAAATACTACTTCTACTAAGGAGTATGCCCTGACTCTCAGCAGAACTAACCAAGGCATACTTTTTGTTACTATTGTATTCTAATTTTAGTTAAATTATGATTTTAATTTATGATTTAGTTAATTTTTAAAACTGCTATTTCCGCTATGAGGAAGCCAGGCCACAGATAAACCATTCACCTTGAAACCCATCATGTAGGGACTGACACCAATGTGGACATCTTTATATTTCTCATTGTACGTGACTTTGGACTCTTGGAATTTTAAAAGAATATTCCAGTAGGTTACTTTAAAAATTGTTAAAGAAATGTTTTAAAGAGGTACTATTGCAGGTAGATATGTTAATTAGATATCTTGTAGGTGTTAGACAGGGCCAGCCCATGAGGAGCCAACATGGAGGGCAATCAAGACACATTCACTGAAGGCCACCATTAAAAGGAAAGAAACTACCACACCCATGTAGGAAAAACAGCAGTGATTAATATTCTCAATAGGTACTGACTGCCTAGGTGGGGGATCAAGGTCTTCCAGGAAAGATCCCTGACCCACCCCTTACCACCAGAAATCCCTGCTCATTCCATGTATGCTTGCTATGTGACTTGTTTGCCCACTGGATCCCCATTTAATCAATATTGCCTAAGCAACAATACTTGTCATAATCTTTTTTGTTGCTGTTGTTGTTGTTTTTTGGTACTGGGGATCAAACTTGGGACCTTGTGCTTTTTAGGCAGGCAGCAGAACCAACCACTGAGCTAAATCCCCGGCCCCATACTTGTCATAATCTTATTGGTTGTTCATAGTTTTGTCCACCTTGTGATTTCTCAATGGATGAATATTACCTAAGTGACTGTAGTTGTAATCTCACTAGTTGACTATATTTTTGTCCCACCTTGAACCCGCCTCGCCTCATGGCTTTGTCCCATAAAACACCTTTGAGAAGTGGGGTGGGTGAGCAACCCACCTTCCAGTCCCCCTCTGTCTCTCTTAGGCAGAAGCTTTCTTTCTCTCAGCAAATTCTTCCTAGGACCTCTCCACTGGTCCTAGAATTCATCCTTCAGTTTTAGAGAACACAAACTCACCTTTCTGATACCTAGCAGGTTTGGGAGAAACATCTCTTGTCTCATATCAGTTTATCTGCTATTTCCAATGAACTGTAACAATCATATTTTTAGATTTACACTAAAAGATTTATACCATTGAAATATAGCTATTTCAGTGTAATATCATACCTACAGAATCTACTATCTGTGGCAAATGTGAGTATTTCTAATTGCATCTAAAAATAGTGTTTGTCTGCATTCAAGGCAATTATGACATGTAGTTCATATGACAGGAATCACTGAATAATTATGACAGACTAAGGCTAATAATCAAAAGACCTGTCTTTTTGCAATGTACTTGGAAAATTCTGTAATTTTATATTTATACAATCTGCTTTGAGGAGCTAATGGATAAGGAAAATAACACTGGCATTAACTCCTCATAATAAAATGATTTGGCTAATTTGTGGTGAAGTCAATAAGGAATTCATACATTAATTTGTATGCAATGAAAATCCAGCAAATTATAGTGATTGTAAATCATTATTAAGAAAAGAATTTTATTAATATATATGGGGAGTATTTTTGAGACTGGGTCTTGGTATGTATTTCAGGCTGGCCTTGAACTCACTATGTAGCCCAGGCTGGCCTTAAACTTGTGATGATCCTCCTGCCTCAGCCTTCCAAGTGCTGAGATTATAGGTGTGAGCCAGCATACCTGGCTTCTGCAAATGTATTTTAATCACTATGCAACATCTACTTTGTGGATAGAATCATGCAGGTATTACTAAGTAACCATGAACATTTTAGCCAGGTTTTTCCACATAATCTTGCCTGATGTCCTTAAAAAGAATATGGGACTGAAAAACTGTGAACAAAGGCCAGGGATTTAGCTCAGTAATTCCACCGCCTGCCTCGAAAGCGCAAGGTCCTGAGTTTGATCCCCAGTACAAAAAAGAAAACTGTGAACAATAAACATTCTAACAGGAAATCTTATTTCCTACATCACACCATATGCTTGGGTAGTCACTATTTCCCATTTAAATGAATACAGGGTTCTCAATGTTAGATTAAAATTTTTGTTTTAGTGATTTCTTGGGGGAAGGAACCATGGGCCTTGCACATGTCAGGCAAGCACTCTTCCGCCAAACAACATCCCCAGCCCTTAGTGTTAATATTTTCAAAACACAGTAACTTTGCTGGTTTTGCTAGTAATCCCAGCCACGTAAAGGACTGAAGCAGAAGGGTCACTGGTTGGAGGCCAGCCTGGGCAGGTCAGTGAGCGGCTGCCAAGAGTCAAATGAAAAGGGCTTCCATGTAGCTCAGCGGCACGGCACTGGCCCAACATATGCAAGCCCCTAGGTTCCATCCTCGGAACTGCAAAGAGAGAAGGAAAAAATATACAATCATACGCATGTGACTCCAACTACAGCTACGAAAAACTCATAATTAAAGCTATGTTACACATATGTGCCAATTCTGCAACGTAAATGTAAATATCATGGAGTATAAACATATACCCATAAAATATAATAATTTTTTTAAAAGTCAAAAATTTTAAAATGAAATACATTTGCAATCCTACATTTTATAACTCAGAAAGGAAAAGCAAGCCATCAAAATCACTGCCATTCATAGTTTTGCAACAAGAGCCGTATTTATAAATTAGAGAATGTGTTTTTAAATCTATTTCACTCAATGATCAAATTAATGTCTTCATTCTGGACATTGGTAAACATCAAAGTTAAAACAGAAATCTTTTTTAGATTTATAAAAATCCACCAGTAGTACCAATATTTGAACTATGCTAATAATGAGAAATAATTTATTACAGTTCAGCCAGCACTTCATCTAAAATATGTAACAGCAGATACTGTAAGGAATTGCTCCCCTTTTCTGTTTTTAATTATAATGTTAATCTTTCACTTAAGAGCTGCCCCAGCAGTCACTCAGCTTTGTGCAGGGTGGGGGAAACCCTTCCTCTTGCCAGAAAAAAACAGATGTTCTTGCTGCGATCAGGGATTTTCCTTATCATCTAAATGTACCACCACACTGCCACATCCACATGTCAGGTGTCAAAAGCCACCCAGGCCGGGAAATGCATATTCATTTGTTGTTCCCTGGCAGCCGCATCCTGGTTAGGAAGCAAATCTCCTCCAGGGTAGGTAAATAGGTGTGCTTTTTCCCCCTCATCTCATCGCAAGCCAATTACATTTCAATAAAAAGAAATCGCACAGAAGCTGCCCAATGCCTTGAGATTGGGCTTATTCCTAACAGGCTAAGCTGAGACTCCGGGGCTTTATCTCCTCAAAACAGCTATTTAGCTGATGGTCATATTTCTGGCAAGTCCACATCCCTGTGCTGCAAAAAACAGAACTATTTCATGATTATTACAGAAGCAGTGGACACTGCCACATTAGCATAGGAAACCCAACTATGTTCCCACTTTGCTTCAGTGCAAGAATAGCAAACACCTTTTTAAAAGCCATGAGGAATCACACCATATTTTGAAATCCAAAACACTCAGTGCATATAAATTTCACTTCTGAACCCTCTTTGCATCATATGGTTTCAAATATTCCCATGTGATCCTGAGATATTAAATTTACAACATTTTTCAACACTGTGATTGTGGTAAAAGAGAATTCAATTTTCTACTTTATCATTTCTCCAAGAAAAGAACAAAGAAAACTATTTTCAAGATACCTAACCTGAAATTATGAGTCTGAAGTAAAATTAGTAATTATGGGTTAGGATGACATTTTTCTTAAAAAAATTTTTTTTGATGTATTTTTTGATCTCCAAGTCATTCTCTGAAAAAATAAATGAGGAAAATAAAGAGCAGAGAGGGAGAGAAAGGGAAAATGGAGGGGGGAATAAATTTACCTTATAAAAATCAGGTTCAATAAACAACTTGTAGAAGAGTTTGATAGTTCCTCGGTTTGAATAAATTACAACATGTCTATTAAGACATTTTCTTAAAATAAGGAAACAAAAGATTTTATTCTAAACACAGTTCAGATTGAGTGTCCCCCTACTCCAAATGCTTGGGACAAAAAGTATTTTAGATTTCAGAATTTCCCAGGTTTGGGGATATCTGCATATACATAATTATGAGATATCCTGGGGATGAGACCCAGTCCAAATACGAAATTCACTGTGCTGTTCATATACCTCAAACAGGTACTTTAGTAATTCTGTGCAGAAACAAGTTTCATGGGTGTAGGACTTTTCAGTTGTGCCATCTCTCGTGCCTGTGCTCAGAAAGGAACAGATTACAGAGCGCTTCGCATTTTGGATCTCCAGAAGGATGGCCAATCACTCTTCATCATTTACCCTG